AGGGGGGGTTGGTTGGTTGGCCAGCACCACGCCCGGCCGCCTTTGTCTCCTCGGTGTCGATGCGTAACACGTGACGATGCGTTACGCAGACTTGCCGGGTGCCGATTTGAGGCTGAGTAGACCCAGGGGGAGGCCCAGGGACGGTTCAGATGTTCGCTGTCACTGCAATCGGGGTCGTGAGTGGGAGTGGAACTCGGGTGGCCTGGTTCGGAGCGCAACGCCCCAATCGATATACACCACGCAAATATTTATTTGCAATTACACACTCCAAGGCCGTAATTATATAAAATATTCAAATATGCTCAAAATGTCTCCGCCAATATATTGCTATTAAATAGATTTCTGTTTACATGATTGTGGTTATGGTTGTACTTTATTAATCCCTAATCTCTGCCATTACATACAACGAAACAAGAATAGCTGTAAATACAATACACTATTAGACATTATTGTAAAAAAATAAATGAAAAAGTCCATCCCATGTGTAAGTGATTTTATATATATATATTTTAGGCAAGAAATTCATTTTCAAATTTAGATTTTTTTCTGGGGGGGGGGGGGGGGCAGACCCCCTAGAAGATTTGGTCCTCCCTCAATGTTGACTTCATGGCTACGGCCTTGACACACCTGTACACTGACGTTAAAACTCACGCACACCGCACGCAATCTCACGCAATCTCACGCAATCACTCCCGCAATCTCACGCAATCTCACGCAATCTCACGCAACCACTCCCGCAATCTCACGCAATCTCACGCAATCTCACGCAATCACTCCCGCAATCTCACGCAATCTCACACAACCACTCGCAATCTCGCAATCTCACGCAACCACTCCCGCAATCTCACGCAATCTCACGCAACCACTCCCGCAATCTCACACAATCTCACGCAATCTCACGCAACCACTCCCGCAATCTCACGCAATCTCACGCAATCTCACGCAACCACTCCCGCAATCTCACGCAACCACTCCCGCAGTCTCACGCAATCTCACGCAATCTCATGCAACCACTCCCGCAATCTCACGCAATCTCACGCAATCTCATGCAACCACTCCCACAATCTCACGCAATCTCACGCAATCTCATGCAACCACTCCCGCAATCTCACGCAATCTCACGCAATCTCATGCAACCACTCCCACAATCTCACGCAATCTCACGCAATCTCACGCAACCACTCACGCAATCTCACGCAACCACTCCCGCAGTCTCACGCAATCTCCGCACCCTCCGTGGACTGATGTCTGACACACTGCCGTGGGGTGCGATGCAAAGAGTCCGCACGCAGCGCACGCAGTCAAGAGTCTGGCAGTTCGATCTCCCGGCGTGGCAGTTGCGACATTGTTGCGCACACGTGTTCATTCCACCCCCTGTGGCCCTAGCAGTATAAAATTGTGAAGGTCCGCAGTTAGTTTAGTTTTTTTTCTCGGCAGGTGGGGAGGTAAAGTGTGGGTAACTCTACCAAGGCGTCTTGGCCTGCGTGGAGGAGTCGGCCACATGCCACGCTAGAGGTCCCTCTAGCGCAGGGCCCTGCTGCCAGCAGTGGATGGAGCAAAGCAGTTGCAGGGCTGCGTCTCTGCCTCGCACCTGTTGGGGACTGCAGTAGACTATGACGGCTCTCTAGCCCTTCTAGAACATCGCTAGAAGCGACACTACTCAATCATATCTCCAGTGATTCTAGAACGTCGCTAGAATTGACATTACTCAAGCATCTCTCCAGTGATTCTAGAACGTCACTAGAAGTGACATTACTAAATCATCTCTCCAGTGATTCTAGAACATCGCTAGAAGTGACATTACTCAATCATCTCTCCAGTGATTCTAGAACGTCACTAGAATTGACATTACTCAATCATCTCTCCAGTGATTATAGAACATCGCTAGAATTGACATTACTCAATCATCTCTCTATCTCTTCTAGAACATCGCTAGAAGTGACATTACTCAATCATCTCTCCAGTGATTATAGAACATCGCTTGAATTGACATTACTCAATCATCTCTCTATCCCTTCTAGACCATCGCTAAAAGTGACATTACTCAATCATCTCTCCAGTGATTCTAGAACATCGCTAGAATTGACATTACTCAATCATCTCTCTAGCCCTTCTAGAACATCGCTAGAATTGACATTATTCAATCATCTCTCCAGTGATTCTAAAACATCGCTAGAATTGACATTACTCAATCATCTCTCCAGTGGTTCTAGAACATCGCTAGAATTGACATTACCCAATCATCTCTCTAGCCCTTCTAAAACATCGCTAGAATTGGCATTACTCAATCATCTCTCCAGTGGTTCTAAAACATCGCTAGAATTGACATTACCCAATCATCTCTCTAGCCCTTCTAAAACATCGCTATAATTGGCATTACTCAATCATCTCTCCAGTGATTCTAGAACATCGCTAGAATTGACATTACTCAATCATCTCTCCAGTGATTCTAGGACATCACTAGAATTGACATTACTCAATCATCTCTCCAGTGGTTCTAGAACATTGCTAGAATTTACATTACTCAATCATCTCTCCAGTGATTCTAGAACGTCGCTAGAATCGACATTACTCAAGCATCTCTCCAGTGATTCTAGAACGTCACTAGAAGTGACATTACTAAATCATCTCTCCAGTGATTCTAGAACATCGCTAGAAGTGACATTACTCAATCATCTCTCCAGTGATTATAGAACATCGCTAGAATTGACATTACTCAATCATCTCTCTATCCCTTCTAGAACATCGCTAGAAGTGACATTACTCAATCATCTCTCCAGTGATTATAGAACATCGCTTGAATTGACATTGCTCAATCATCTCTCTATCCCTTCTAGACCATCGCTAAAAGTGACATTATTCAATCATCTCTCCAGTGATTCTAAAACATTGCTAGAATTGACATTACTCAATCATCTCTCCAGTGGTTCTAGAACATCGCTAGAATTGACATTACCCAATCATCTCTCTAGCCCTTCTAAAACATTGCTAGAATTGGCATTACTCAATCATCTCTCCAGTGATTCTAGAACATCGCTAGAATTGACATTACTCAATCATCTCTCCAGTGATTCTAGGACATCACTAGAATTGACATTACTCAATCATCTCTCCAGTGGTTCTAGAACATCGCTAGAATTTACATTACTCAATCATCTCTCCAGTGATTCTAGGACATCACTAGAATTGACATTACTCAATCATCTCTCCAGTGATTCTAGAACATCACCGGAATTCACATCGCTCAGCTCTCTGTCCCTTTTTAAAACATCATTATAATTCACATCACTCACTCAGGTCTCAATCCCGTTAAGACCATCACTAGAATTGACATCACATCACTCAGCTCTCTAACCCTTTTAGACCATCGCTAGAATTCACAATACCCACTTAACTCTCTAACCCTCCTAGAACGTCACTAGAATCCACATCACTCACTCAGCTCTCTATCCCGTTTAGACCATCACTAGAATTCACATCACTCACTAAGCTCCCTATGCTTTCTAGACCATCACTAGAATCCACATTACATCACTCAGCCCTTTATCCATTCTAGACCATCACGATAATTCACGTAACTCTCTCAACTGTCTAGCCCTTTCAGACCATCACTAGAATCCACATCACGTTACTCAGCTCTCTATCCCTTCTAAACCATCACGAGAATTCACATCACTCGCTCAGCTCTCTATCCCTTCTAGACCATCACGAGAATTTATATCACTTGCTCAGCTCTCTATCCCTTCTAGACAATTACTAGAATCCACATCACTCGCTCAGCTCTCTATCCCTTCTAGACCATCACCAGAAATGACATTACATTACTCAGCTCTCTATCCCGTCTAGACCATCACGAGAATTCACATCACTCGCTCAGCTCTCTATCCCTTCTAGACCATCACGAGAATTTATATCACTTGCTCAGCTCTCTATCCCTTCTAGACAATTACTAGAATCCACATCACTCGCTCAGCTCTCTATCCCTTCTAGACCATCACCAAAAATGACATTACATTACTCAGCTCTTTATCCCGTCTAGACCATCACGAGAATTCACATCACTCGCTCAGCTCTCTATCCCTTCTAGACCATCACGAGAAATGACATTACATTACTCAGCTCTCTATCCCTTCTAGACCATCACGAGAATTCACATCACTCATTCAGCTCTCTAGCCCTTTCAGACCAGTACTAGAATCCACATCACGTTACTCAGCTCTCTTTCCCTTCTAGACCATCATTAGAATTCACATCACTCGCTCAGCTCTCTATCCCTTCTAGACCATCACAATAATTCACATCACTCGCTCAGCTCTCTATCCCTTCTAGACCATCACGATAATTCACATCACTCTCTCAGCTCTCTAGCCCTTTCAGACCAGTACTAGAATCCACATCACGTTACTCAGCTCTCTTTCCCTTCTAGACCATCACGTGAATTGAGATCACTGGCTCAGCTCTCTATCACTTCTAAACCATCACGATAATTCACATCACGTCACTCAGCTCTCTATCCCTTCTAGACCATCACGATAATTCACATCACTCTCTCAGCTCTCTAGCCCTTTCAGACCAGTACTAGAATCCACATCACGTTACTCAGCTCTCTTTCCCTTCTAGACCATCACGTGAATTGATATCACTGGCTCAGCTCTCTATCACTTCTAAACCATCACGATAATTCACATCACCTTACTCAGCTCTCTATCCCTTCTAGACCATCACGATAATTCACATCACTTGCTCAGCTCTCTATCCCTTCTAGACCATCACCAGAAATGACATTACATTACTCAGCTCTCTATCCCTTCTAGACCATCACGAGAATTCACATCACTCGCTCGGCGACTCGCAATTGCGAAGCCGTTGATCTCGAGAAGTCACCCAAATCGGCGTTTAGCTCGGCGAAACAATTGGCATCAAGCACCGTTGTGCTGCCAACTTTAGCGTGTGTGTGTGCGTGCACGCGCAAAAGCCGCGTGGGTTCCCCGTACCGTTACCGTATAGCAAGCCGAGCTCTGCGGAGAGGAGTGCGTGGGAGAGTCTCTTCCAACACCCCTTGTCCCTTATATGGGGCACAGGAAAAGCCACGCAACGAGCAAATCCAAAAGGGCGGCCTCTGATTTGCTCAGAGGCCGAACAGAACTATCGATGTCCAAACCCAGCACCCCCAAGCCCGACCCCGCAAGTTCTTGACCGTAAAAGGGCATTTGTGTGAGACGGCAGATTTCCTCTTAACCGCAGTTAGGTTCGATCTTGTCGTAACTCGAAATGGAAATGGGTTTCGTCACTCAAGACAATCGTCCAGTGTGGTCGCTCAAGACAATATCCAGTGTTGTCGCTCAAGACAATCTCCAGTATTGTCACTTAAGACAATTTCTAGTGACGTCACTCAACATAATCTCCAGTGACGTCACTCAAGACAATCTCCAGCGTGGTCACTCAAGACAATCTCTAGTGACGTCACTCAATACAATCTCCAGTGTCGTCAATCAAGACAATCTCCAGTGAAGTCACTCAAGACAATCTCCAGTGACGTCACTCAAGACAATCTCCAGTGACGTCACTCAAGACAATCTCCAGTGACGTCACTCAAGACAATCTCCAGTGACGTCACTCAAGACAATCTTCAGCGTGGTCACTCAAGAAAATCTCCAGTGACGTCACTCAAGACAATCTCCAGTGACGTCACTCAAGACAATCTCCACTGACGTCACTCAAGACAATCTCCAGTGTGGTCACTCAAGACAATCTCCAGTGTGGTCACTCAAGACAATCTCCAGTGATGTCACTCAAGACAATCTCCAGTGTCGTCACTCAAGACAATCTCCAGTCTGGTCACTCAAGACAATCTCCAGTGACGTCACTCAAGACAATCTCCAGTGACGTCACTCAAGACAATCTCCAGTGTTGTCACTCAAGACAATCTCCAGTGACGTCACTCAAGACAATCTCCAGTTGTCACTCAAGACAATCTCTCAAGACAATCTCCAGTCTGGTCACTCAAGACAATCTCCAGTGACGTCACTCAAGACAATCTCCAGTCTGGTCACTCAAGACAATCTCCAGTGTCGTCACTAAAGACAATCTCCAGTGACGTCACTCAAGACAATCTCCAGTGACGTCACTCAAGACAATCTCCAGTGACGTCACTCAAGACAATCTCCAGTGACGTCACTCAAGACAATCTCCAGTGACGTCACTCAAGACAATCTCCAGTGTTGTCACTCAAGACAATCTCCAGTGACGTCACTCAAGACAATCTCCAGTGACGTCACTCAAGACAATCTCCAGTGACGTCACTCAAGACAATCTCCAGTGACGTCACTCAAGACAATCTCCAGTGACGTCACTCAAGACAATCTCCAGTGTTGTCACTCAAGACAATCTCTCAAGACAATCTCCAGTGACGTCACTCAAGACAATCACTAGTGACGTCACTCAAGACAATCTCCAGTGACGTCACTCAAGACAATCTCCAGTGACGTCACTCAAGACAATCTCCAGTGTTGTCACTCAAGACAATCTCTCAAGACAATCTCCAGTGACGTCACTCAAGACAATCTCCAGTGACGTCACTCAAGACAATCTCCAGTGACGTCACTCAAGACAATCTCCAGTGACGTCACTCAAGACAATCTCCAGTGACGTCACTCAAGACAATCTCCAGTGACGTCACTCAAGACAATCTCCAGTGACGTCACTCAAGACAATCTCCAGTGACGTCACTCAAGACAATCTCCAGTGACGTCACTCAAGACAATCTCCAGTGACGTCACTCAAGACAATCTCCAGTGACGTCACTCAAGACAATCTCCAGTGACGTCACTCAAGACAATCTCCAGTGACGTCACTCAAGACAATCTCCAGTGACGTCACTCAAGACAATCTCCAGTGACGTCACTCAAGACAATCTCCAGTGTTGTCACTCAAGACAATCTCCAGTGACGTCACTCAAGACAATCTCCAGTGACGTCACTCAAGACAATCCCCAGTGACGTCACTCAAGACAATCTCCAGTGACGTCACTCAAGACAATCTCCAGTGTTGTCACTCAAGACAATCTCCAGTGACGTCACTCAAGACAATCTCCAGTGACGTCACTCAAGACAATCTCCAGTGACGTCACTCAAGACAGTCTCCAGTGTTGTCACTCAAGACAATCTCTCAAGACAATCTCCAGTGACGTCACTCAAGACAATCTCCAGTGACGTCACTCAAGACAATCTCCAGTGACGTCACTCAAGACAATCTCCAGTGACGTCACTCAAGACAATCTCCAGTGACGTCACTCAAGACAATCTCCAGTGACGTCACTCAAGACAATCTCCAGTGACGTCACTCAAGACAATCTCCAGTGTTGTCACTCAATACAATCTCCAGTGACGTCACTCAAGACAATCTCCAGTGACGTCACTCAAGACAATCCCCAGTGACGTCACTCAAGACAATCTCCAGTGACGTCACTCAAGACAATCTCCAGTGACGTCACTCAAGACAATCTCCAGTGTCATAACTCAAGACAATCTCCAGTGACGTCACTCAAGACAATCTCCAGTGACGTCACTCAAGACAATCTCCAGTGACGTCACTCAAGACAATCTCCAGTGACGTCACTCAAGACAATCTCCAGTGACGTCACTCAAGACAATCTCCAGTGACGTCACTCAAGACAATCTCCAGTGTTGTCACTCAAGACAATCTCCAGTGACGTCACTCAAGACAATCTCCAGTGTTGTCACTCAAGACAATCTCCAGTGACGTCACTCAAGACAATCTCCAGTGTTGTCACTCAAGACAATCTCCAGTGACGTCACTCAAGACAATCTCCAGTGACGTCACTCAAGACAATCTCCAGTGACGTCACTCAAGACAATCTCCAGAGACGTCACTCAAGACAATCTCCAGTGACGTCACTCAAGACAATCTCCAGTGACGTCACTCAAGACAATCTCCAGTGACGTCACTCAAGACAATCTCCAGTGACGTCACTCAAGACAGTCTCCAGTGTTGTCACTCAAGACAATCTCTCAAGACAATCTCCAGTGACGTCACTCAAGACAATCTCCAGTGATGTCACTCAAGACAATCTCCAGTGACGTCACTCAAGACAATCTCCAGTGACGTCACTCAAGACAATCTCCAGTGACGTCACTCAAGACAATCTCCAGTGTTGTCACTCAAGACAATCTCCAGTGACGTCACTCAAGACAATCTCCAGTGACGTCACTCAAGACAATCTCCAATGACGTCACTCAAGACAATCTCCAGTGACGTCACTCAAGACAATCTCCAGTGACGTCACTCAAGACAATCTCCAGTGTCATAACTCAAGACAATCTCCAGTGACGTCACTCAAGACAATCTCCAGTGACGTCACTCAAGACAATCTCCAGTGTTGTCACTCAAGACAATCTCCAGTGACGTCACTCAAGACAATCTCCAGTGACGTCACTCAAGACAATCCCCAGTGACGTCACTCAAGACAATCTCCAGTGACGTCACTCAAGACAATCTCCAGTGACGTCACTCAAGACAATCTCCAGTGTCATAACTCAAGACAATCTCCAGTGACGTCACTCAAGACAATCTCCAGTGACGTCACTCAAGACAATCTCCAGTAGCGATGGCTGCTGCTACTGTGTGGTCTATCCTAGGGGCACCCCCAGTGGCAGCTGTCTCTGTGCATCAGTCTGCTGCCAGTAGGGGTAGCGATCGCGCGTGTGTGTGTGTGTGTTTGCAGTGATTAGAGGCGGAGGGGGGGGGGGGTATTGTAATTATATAATCGATTAGTAATCAGTCATTGGTTATGATTAGTAATGAGTTGTAGATTAGTAATTCTTTAAATCAAAATGTAATGTGTATTATTTAATAATACGCTTCCAGGCCGCACTAAGCCGGTAGCTGTCAGAGCGATTAAAGTTATTCTTGTTCCTCTCAATTTCAATGGATTCTCTAATTAGTCTTTGCCAGTAATAATTCGTTTTACACACCACTGCAACATTGAGTTTTACACACCACGTTGAGTTCGCAACTGATAAAGTTTTTTTTTTTGAAATCTGGCAAAAATAAATTGTGGGGCATGACGCCGGCACTAAGTGGCTCAGCTCTTGAACGTGCGCCACGAGCGATGCACACGGTGCTCTAAGAGAGCATCCGCCTATGAACACTTGACAAAGTCAAAGATCCCCAGTGTAGCGCTAACAGACTGTGATGTTAGCGAGGAGCGCCTGTGAAGGGCCGGTAGGGAACACCATCCACACACACACACACGCACCAATACCCGCCTGTGCCAGGCTAGCTGCACTTTCGAAGGCTCTCTGCTGACACGAGGAGTTCACGGGACAGACCCAGCAGGTGCCATGGGGTTGGCTGACTGAGATGACCACTGGTAGAGATGCAACACCAGCTATGTACCCCCGACTGTGCCAACTCGCTGCATTTTATCCGCCCGGCCCTCCGCTCGTTGTTGTGAGCGTCGCTCCTCTGCTCTCCGTTGTATCTGGAGGGCGATTTCCTCCAACTGCTCAGCAGCAGCAGCGTGATTAACGAGCTTGCTCCTCCACCAGAGTCCGATCTTGACACCGCTGGTACCGGTCATTGGCAAGTCCACTCAGCTCAACATCCTCCCGTACCGCATGAGGTATCTGGGCACGAGGTGTCTGTGCAGGAGGTGTCTGTGCACGTGGTGTCTGGGCACGTGGTGTCTGGGCACGTGGTGTCTGTGCACGTGGTGTCTGTGCACGTGGTGTCTGGACACGTGGTGTCTGGACACGTGGTGTCTGGGCACGAGGTGTCTGGGCACGTGGTGTCTGTGCACGTGGTGTCTGTGCACGAGGTGTCTGGGCACGAGCTGTCTGGGCACGTGGTGTCTGTGCACGTGGTGTCTGGGCACGAAGTGTCTGTGCACGTGGTGTCTGGACACGAAGTCTCTGGGCACGTGGTGTCTGGACACGAGGTGTCTGTGCACGTGGTGTCTGTGCACGTGGTGTCTGGACACGTGGTGTCTGTGCACGAGGTGTCTGGGCACGTGGAGTCTGTGCACGAGGTGTCTGGGCACGTGGTG